AATTTGACCTATACCTCTGGATTCAGTAGCTCAAAAGACAGAACAAATCTTTATAGCGAGGATCATTCCCACCCCCTCTATACACAGAGTAGACAGGGATGGGCAACTTGGACATTGACTACCCAAAATGGGGAGGCTACAAAAGCAAGAAGTAACTGGTTTACAAGCTTTCAAGAGGGAACCCTTTCCCAGAGGGCTTGGAGGAAGGTAGAATCTTCACTGAGTAGTATCCAATCTGTCTAGGTGGGGCTGATGAAAGGAGATGGGGATAGCACTCATGTAGTACAATAGTGAATAATTTCTATAAGGACTGACTGTGAGGGTTGAAAATGTAAAGGTAGATCTTTTGTAGCAAAAGGAAGGGAGTGGTTGACTTTGCAGGCCAGGAGCGGAGGCTTCTAGGACCATCAAGGTAGAAGAGCAGAGAGTAGGACCCTACCCAGAGAAACAGGGACAGAGATGGAGGAAGAGAGATGGAGCGGCTGGGGACTCTAGACACAGAGAGGGAAAGGGGCTATGTGCTGATGACCAGGGGGCAGACTTGCGGGGTGTACCCTTTGGTTGGTTGACGATGCATGGAGGTCCATTGTAACCATGGCAATGTAACGATATACGATAGGATGAATGTAAAGCTAATGTTCTCCCATGTAAATGATCATTTCACATAATTCACAATAAAACAGTTTTCTTAAAAAAACCACTGAACCTACTCAATGGCACTTAACAATAACAACATTGTCTTGGTGTGGCGCTGTAGGATAAGCGCTGGGCAACAAGGTCAGTTTGAAACGCAAGGTCGGCAGTTCAAACCCACCAGCCGCTCCTTAGAAAACCTGTGCAGAGTTGCTAGGAGTCAGAAAAGACTCGATGACACTTAACAACAACAATTCAATCCGTAACAATTCCTATCTTTAAAAAGTTTAATAATGGGAGTCATTAATAGGGCATGACATGTCTAGTAATCTTTCTGTTAGACTCTATTAGTCAGAACCTTATTTGTGAACCCAGTCTGAGCTGTCAAACTTAATAGGGAAGTGAAGAAACTGACAAGGATCCAGAGAGCTCAAGCAACTTGATGGAGAATGGAAGAATCCCAGAGAAATGTCAAATGAGTCAAGTGGGCTTACTTTGGAAAAAGAAAAAAGAGAGAGAGATCTTTGCTTTCTCTATGCTGGGGAGGTTACTGTGAAAGGGATAACACAGTTGTTTGCTATGTCTGCATAAGGAAAATGACTTCCACAAAGCAAGTGAAACTTATGTAGGACTTAGGCAGAGCATTTTCAGACTCTAGGGGGAACAATCTAGATCTTGGAATGGGTGCTCTTGGGCAATTACTCTTGGACATACTCTTGTCTGGGTGGTTCTTACTTGCCTGATACTCACTAGGTATCTCCAGGGATCCCATGACTATTTCCTGGCAGTCCTTGGGGTGTGTGTGAGGTTTTGAGGGACGTGGACCCCAGCCTTGAGTCAGCCTTATCCTTCCTGTCCTCTCATACTCCTTTCAGAGTGAGTTTGCAGCTCATTATTAGGTCTCTGGGTGACACAAACTGTTTATACTAACCTAAAGGCTGGTGGTTTGAGCCCATCCAGCAATACTGATGAAGAAAGGTTTGGAGCTGTGCTTCTGTAGATACTAACATCTAAGAATGGTTTATGGAGTAGCTCCACTGTGTATAACGCACGGGGGCGCTATGAGTCAGAATAGTCTTCATTGCACCAATTATTTTCACAGCCGGTCAGGTTTATTATGTCATGAAGGCATGTAATCCCGTTATTCCAGCTGGGACAAACATAGAAGCTGGGTGGAAGTGCCAACACTACCCAAACAAGACACTTTGGCGATATGCAGAGTAGGAGTGAGTCAGGCTTCAAAAGCCATTTAGTTAAACTTGCTACGGAAATAGTCCACTACAATGCTACAGGTGCTTTATCTACATTCTTTTGAATTTTCACAGCAAACCCTGAGGTAAGATTTCACAGGTGTGGAATTGGAGATTAAGATAAATTAAGGAATTTGTCCAGGATCACACTGCTGATAAAAGTGCCTACCCACTGTGACTACCCACTGCCGTCCAGGGACCCTATAGGACAGCCTAGAACTGTGCCATAGTATTTCCAAGGGAGTCCTGGTGTGACACTGTGGGTTAATGCAGCTGGACTGAAAGGTCGGTGGTTCAAGATCACCAACCACTCCTCGGAAACCCTACACAGGGCCAGAACCGACGCCAGAACCGACGGGACGGCACTTAACAACAGCAATAATCTTTACTGAAGCCAGTGGACTGTCTCGTCTTTCTCCTGAAGAGCGATGGGGAGATTCAAACATCCGACCTTTGGGTTAGCAGTTCAACACACTTCATGCACTGTGCCATGACAATTTGGCTGTACAATCTGCCCCCGCTTTTATTATTTATTTATCTGCTCTTGCTTTTGCAAAAACTGCTGACCAGAGAGAAGCCTTTTCCTACCCGGAATCATACAGGCTGATTTGGGATTGGAACTCAGGCTCCTAAATTTCCATCAAGTCTTTTTCAGACATCTGATTTGGCTGGGAAGAGGGGAGAGGCCGAGGATATGGCCTAGGCCAAGCATACTTGACAAATAACTGAGAAGGAGCTAGGCAACAGGTCTGGACAAATGCTGCCTACAGGCTGTGTTTGTGTTCTTTCGTCTTTCCAGACCCTTACGCCAGCCAACGTTACGAAAGACCCGCTCCCAGGAGAGCACCGCAGGGCAAAGGGCCGGGTTGTCCTCTTTCTGGAGGAGCCAATCTGGGACCAGGACGGAGGCGTGAGGTGTAGTGGAAAAACCCTGTACTTGGGAGTCAGATCTCTAGGTTCCACAGAGACCTAGGGCAAGTTACTCTTCAGGGGCCTAGGACAAGTTTCTCATCTGCAAAACGGGGGAGGTTGTAAGTAGAACTCGACGAGGATGCAAAAGCAGGAATTATTACACACCAAACTATGAGTTTAGCATGGTGTCCTACTGAGACGTCCTGCAGATCCACAGCAGCGAGGCCAGGACAAGACCAAAGAAGAAAAACTACAACTCCCAGGAGGCGCCGGGTGGCTTGGCGCCGGGCGGTGATGTCACAGGGGCCGGTTCGAGGAGCTGATTCGGCCGGAGCTGCCAGCGGGGTGGCTGCCGCCGCGGGTTCTTACAGCTGCTGGAGCAGCAGCGGCCCCCACCCCCGCCCCTGGGCACCTTTTCTGGGCCCTTGACCTCTGGCCCGGCGGGGTGAGTCCGGACAGGCCTCCAGGCTGGGGGAGCCGGGAGGACCCCGGGACTGCGACGGGGCGAGAGGGGGGCGGGGGCTGCTGGGGAAAGGACCCGGGTTGGGGGGGACCCAGAGAGGAGGAGCGGAGCCGGAGGGGCTGCATCAACCGAGGGGGTGTTCAAAGGGTAGTGAAGGTGGGAGGACGGAGTTGGGGCGTCGAGGAGGGACGTTCCGCCTGAGGGTGGGGGCCGGGGAGAGGCTCGGCTTCGGGGATAAAGGTTTGGCAGCCTCCGGGGCTAGGTGAAAGTGTGGAGGTGGGGGTGGGGCCCCGGGACGGCTCGCGCCTCTGTGCGAGGTGGAGCGGGAGGCTCCCCTGCGGACCAGAGATCCCACTCTGGAAGCCCCAACAATAGTGACGACTCCGCCTCCTCGCTCCTCCCTCACCCCTGGCTAGTGGGGGATCGCCTGGGTACTCCTTATCCTTCCCACCGACAGCCTGGGTTCCAGGGCCTGATCGAAGCTGAGAGGTGAGCAGCTGTGACCCTGAGGGTTAGGTGGTTGGCAGAATGTAAATGGCATTGTGGTGTGCTGTCAGGGCCCCCTCAGTTTGGGTCCAGATCTTGATATCTTAAACTCCTTATGTAGAAGGTTAAGGATTTGCGGCTTAAAGGTCTACCCTTACCTGGGGGAGGGATTGGGAAGTTCTCACCTGGTGGCTGCCCTGGGGCACACTCCAGCTTTGGCTCGGGTGTCTTGACAGACTGGCAGAGCCAGGATATTCTTGTGTGGGGGTGGGGTGGAGTGGAGTAGTGGGAAAGAGCCACCAGCAAGAAAGTGGTTAACAGAACTGAGTTGCTGCAGGCTCTGGTTTGAGGCAGGTTATGAAACCACATCAGGGGCTGGTGCAGGCAGCCACCTGCCAGCTACAGAGGCAGAACTTTTCAGCCTCAACTGCTTGTAAAACTCACTTTTTTCTCCCCATTTCTCTTCTGGGAGAGAGGTCAGTTGGTTATTTTACTCATGGGAACGATAGGTCGCACACAGAAGTCTCAGCAGGGCTTCCTGGCTAGTCTTTTTCTTAGTTTATCAATCTTTTCTGCTTTTTTGGGGGGATCTCTTAGGATTTTCTGTTCCCAGGGCACTTAGTGTTCAGGTTCTGAAAGAAGCTTACCAGTGTGGCAGCTAGGATCTGGGGTCTAGGTATTTGCTAGACCCTTTGGGTTGGGCAGGATGTCCTGTGACTGCAAGAAATGGTCTGGGGTCTTCTTGTCTGGTAGTCAGTAAGGCCCTTGGCACTCCTGGAGAAAATTCTAAGGAGAGCTGGAGGTTTTTCTCCACTCCCACCCATACAGGTCTGGGTTAGGGAAAGGGAGGAGGGCAGCAGTTTCTGGTCAGACTTGGGGAACTCTTTTCCTCCCCTTGGTGTAGTAAGTTTTGTGGAGCCCTTACTTCCCAAGCTGCCACCTCCCCCCTTCACCCAGGTGAAGCCTTTTGCGTGATAGGTGTCCCAGGGGTTGTGTTAGGTTAACTGAAGTCCCAAGGCCTTGGGAAGATAAACAACCAAGCCAGCTCTGGTTTTCTTGGGTGTCTGTAAAGCTTAATTATCCAGCCTAATGGGCTGGGCTGATGGGTCTCAGGAGCATTGTTTCTTCCAGGATGCACCCTGGGCCAGCCCACTGCATGTTGAGAAGGTGTCTAAGCTTGCAAGTGTCTGCGAAAAGGAAACTTGCTCCCATTATTCTGGAAGTAGGGAACTGACCCTTGGGAATTCTAGTTCTTTGGCACTGTAGGATAAGCACTGAACTGCTAACCACAAGGTCGGCTGTTCTAACCCACCAGTCACTGCTTGTAAATGCTACACAGGGTTGCTATGAATTGGAACCTGGAAGTCCTGGTGTGGCGCTTTGAGTTACTACGCTGGACTGCAGGTAGTTTTGAACTACAGTGTGGTTCAAGCTCACTAGCCGCTCCTTGGAAACCCTATACAGGGTCGCTATGAGTTGGAACCGACTCAGCGGCACTTAACAACAACAAAAATATGAGTCGGAACTGACTCAATGGCAGTTAACAACAACAACATGCAGGTTCAACTGGGATCCTAACCAGAGAGAAATGGCAACTTGAGTCTGAGGGGTTGGCTGCATTGAGGTGAAGGAGGTAGACCCTGAGCACTTCCAGGATACCCTCCATATGGGACCCCTTTCTGCATTCCTAGGAAAGATGAGGCTGTTAACCATGGTGATGATTTTAGAGTCTTCACCATGGTAGGGCCCTCCAGGGTTGAGGAAGGTGAGCCATCTGTTCCCACTTCTAGCTGGTCCCAAGGTCCTTAGGGATCTTTGGGCAGCGAAGATTTGGACAAGGGACTGCTCATTCCCCTCCCTCCCTTCGCCACTTCCGTATGCCCACTCTGGGTTGCCACCACTGTTGTTTCTTGGGCATCAAGGGGAGCCCTCCTGGTTCCTTCAGTTGTAAGTCTTCTACTTCTGGAGCTGGGCATGGTGTTAACTTACCCCTGGAAACAGGTGCTCGGAAGACAAGATAGAGGTGAGGGTGGGCAGGGCCGAGAAGAAAGGGGCTGGTGGTATGTCCAGGTGTAAGTCTGGGCGCGGGGGCTGTTGATGTGTGTTCCAGCTGCCCATAGGAGCTGTGGATATTGGCCACGTTGCCTATCCTTGCCTTTTCTGTGGTGAAGAAAAGGGCCCATTCGCCTTGGTGGCTTGGCAGCAGAGTGGGTGGTATCACGAGGGCTAGTCTGAGTGGCTGCCAAATGGGTAAAACATCTGGATGCGTGTATTGTGTCATCAAGTTAGAGCCTCCAGGTCTGGGCAAAGGTTGTCCTCAGTTTGTTGTTTTCTCCTTGTTCCCTCCCTTCCTCTTTACATCGTCCTCCGCTGGTTGAGGGTAGGGGAGGCCCAGGATTGAATAATTTGGGGAGGTGGGTGGAAGCAATAATGGAAAAAGTCTTCTTCCACAGCAGCCTGTGTCCACATGCCCCACTTCCTTTGACTCCCTCTTGTGGGAAGGATTTGTGGGTTGGAGCCTTCCTGGATCCAGTCCTGAGGGGTTGTTCAGAGGGAGCGTTACTGGGACAGCCTCTGTTCCCGACCTCAGGCTTTGTGGAAGGCAGGCCCTCACAGGCATGCTGTGGGGGATGGACTTGGAGGCCGGACATTGATTTCTTTGCTCTGGGACTGGATACCACTTGATGACCTGCCCTACCAGTCATCCAGGCACTTGCAGTGGCATTGTCCTGCCGGTGAAGCAGCCTGTTTATCCTAATCGGGAGGTGAGAAATGAGCAGAGCCAAATCCACATGGACTTTCTCCTGCCTCCTTGCTTGAGAGTCAGCAATGGGCTTGTGTAGAGTGCTGGGGGAGATCCTGCCCGCCGGCAGGATTTAAAGGGTGCGAGGGGGCAGGGAAAGTGGTGTGACCTGTCTCACCTGTGCTGTTTGTTTGCAGAGCAGTGGCGGAGAGGGACGGCAGGATGAATGTGGGCACGGCGCACAGCGAGGTGAACCCCAACACCAGAGTGATGAACAGCCGTGGCATCTGGCTCTCCTATGTGCTGGCCATTGGGCTTCTGCATGTGGTGCTGCTCAGCATCCCCTTTGTGAGCGTCCCTGTCGTCTGGACCCTCACTAACCTCATCCACAACATGGTGAGGGCCGGGAGGAGGGGTAGGAGGAGTCTGCAGACATGGCAGATGTCAGTGTGACATACTGACAACATCTGTCACCAGAGCGTAGACCCAGCTCTCTATCTGCCCCATGTCCTCTTTCAGGTTCTAACCCATGTGCTCTGATAAGAGGACTAATAGAGTCTGCGGATTTGTCCACATCTCCAGGATGGGTGGCTTGTGGCCCGGGAAAGGAGACTACTGAGAGCTGAACCAAGGGCTCCAAAGAGTCCCTAGGACCCAGCAGTCCTGACGCTTAGTCCAGTTCAGACCTGTCCCTCTCCCAAGTCAGGATCTCAAACCATCTTCCACTTTTGTCCCTCTTTGCTTCCTTCCTTCCTGCTACCTTGTACCTATTTGGTGGGCAAGCAAGACCTCGTCCCTTCCCATCTTCTTGCCCAGCGCACAGGGAGAGTATAGTGGACTGAGGGAGCAGGCACTACTGGACCCACTCTGTGTATTCTCATGCTAGGCCTCTCCTCTCATGCTACAGGCCTCTGAGCTGCCCTGCTCTAACCTCCAGTGCACATCCCCCTGCCTCTGGAACCCCATCTCTGTGATTGGGGTGGAGGAGCTGAGCTGGAGGTCTTTCACTTTTCTGTTTTCTAACAAAGGCCCCTCCTTCCAGGGCATGTACATCTTCCTGCACACAGTAAAGGGGACACCCTTTGAGACCCCGGACCAGGGCAAGGCAAGATTGCTGACCCACTGGGAGCAGATGGACTATGGGGTCCAGTTTACGGCCTCTCGGAAGTTCTTGACCATCACGCCTATTGTGCTGTAAGTGTTTTGGGTAGAGGAGGGCACCAGTAGCTGCCCCAAGCAGGCAGGTGAAGACCTGTGGGACTCTGGGGCCCAACTAGCTCTGGCCCTAATGGTAGGAATGAACAGGGGAAGGGAAGTTGGAGTGTCCCTGAATCCTACATTGGGCTCTCAGGCTTGGTGCCTCCCTGGCCTATTTTCCCTCCAATGGACTGACTTCCTGTCAGTAAGATGGTCCATAGTCCTGGAGCAAAGCTAAGGATCTGGGTGGAAGGGGCCTCTTTCCTCTGGGAGATCTCGCTACCCCACTTCTGATCTGGAGGCCTCCCCCATAACTCCTTGCCTTCTCCATTTGCCTCTTCCCACCCATGGAGTGAGGGAAGAAGGGGCTCTCCAAAGTCTTATCCTTTTCTTCAATCTCCGCACCTAGGTATTTCCTCACCAGCTTCTACACCAAGTACGACCAGATCCATTTTGTCCTCAACACTGTGTCCTTGATGAGCGTGCTCATCCCCAAGCTGCCCCAGCTCCACGGAGTACGGATTTTTGGGATCAATAAGTACTAAAGGTGCAGCCCCCTGCCCAGGCTGGCAGGGCTGAGGTCAAAGGCCTGCGCTGCAGTGCTGAGCCAGGAGCCTCTGGAGACTGCCAGAGGTGGGGGCTGAGCCTCTGAGCCCTAAGTCCCCCCTTGCTTCCCCCAGTAGCTGACTTGGAGTAGCTTGTAGTGGGCTTGGGGTTGGGGTAGGCCCTCCACCTGGGGCTCCAACCCCTTGTGATTTTTTTGGTCTTTTCCTTTGCCTTTTGAATAGAGACTCTGAGGGGGCAGTTATGGAATGGGCTGGACTCCCCAACGGAACACAGCCCCCCGAGGTTGGGACAGGAGGCCAGGAAAAGCCCCTGCTCACCCTCAGGCGTCCAAAGCACTTTAACCCCTATCAGGGGGCAGAAGGGACGGTACCATTCTAGATTGTTTTAATTTTTCAGTCTTTAGGGTAACACTCAGACTCAGTGTGCCTGTATATCTGAGACAGGCGTGTGATGACAGCTGATCCCTCTGGGCAGAGAGCTGTCTAACTCAACTCTCATTCCTCTGGTAACTCCCCTGCAACTCACTGAGTGTGTTGGGGAGGGTGGGAGAGAGCATGCCCCATCCCAGAGGTACAGAGCTGGAGACCTCTGCCCTCCTGGCCCTGGTGGAGGTGAGGGAGGGAAGGGAAGGAGATATGGGGACCAAGCTAGATTCAACTTGGCAGGGGGATGGGGAGGAGGCTCGGAAGAGGCAGTGGTGATAGGGAAGGGAGGCTGCTCTGGACTTGAAGCTTCTGAGTTGGCTAAAGGGATGGAGTTGGATGGCAGAGACCCCTGAGTTGTGCTTACTAGGTCCCATTGATACTGCTTTCTGCAGTGGTGTGAGTGGTGTGGGGAGCTTGGACAGAATTCATGGGTTCTGGGACCCCTCACCTCGTAGTTTGCTCATGCAGATGGCACAGAGCAGGGCCCTCTTGTGTGGCACGCATATGTGGGAATATGAGCTCACCCAGTCCAGGTGGGCAGGCTGAGCGAGGAGTGGTGGTCTGTAGGCACTGCCCCTTCTACCTGTGAGGTGAAGATCATGGGGCTGGAACCTGAGCACAGGCCTGAAGAGGAGCCTTCTACCCTCTCCTCAGCCCCACGGGGTCTCTGTTACTTTGGAAAAGCTGTGGGTGTCTGTGTCCTCTCCCAGGGGCCTAAGGGAGGAGACAGATCACTGGCCCTGCTTTCTGCCTCCTAGCACCGCCCCCCCAGCCCGAGTATCATAGGGAACTTTCACCTCAAAATCTTTCTAAGCAAAGTGTGAATAGGATTTTTACTTCCTTTGTACAGTATTGTGAGAGATGCAAATAAAGGGCAGTGTGTTCCTGTATTGTGCGTCTGGCTCTGCTTCCTGGAGGGCCCAGGGGTGGAGGGTTAGGGTGGGAGCATCAGGTGGGAAGGACTCAGACTGGGGGTCTTCACGGCTTCAGTTTGGGGGTCCTGTGGAGGCACCTGGTGGAAGCAGCAGCAGACCCGAGAGCAGACCTCTCTGTTGGTCCCTTAGCCTGGCTGCTGCACATGCCGCTGGGCCTTGGCCAGGGTCCTGGCTTCCCTCTGCACCCCCTTCCTCAGGTCTTCCCCCAGTCGCTCCTGCCCTGGGAGGGCTGCACTCCTCCTGCCATTTTGTCTCCAGAGGAATTTCCACTCCACTCTTCCTCATCTCTGCCATAAGCATGTGTGGGAGAGAAAGGGAGGTACTAATTGAGGGTCACACAGGATCAGGGAAGGGAGGAACCCTGTAGTGAAGGAAACCTTATGTCCTGAGGGTGCAGAATCATCTCCTACTCGTGAGGCAGGTACAAAGTCAAGGGTGGAAGTGGGAGCTGCTCCCAACAGCCTGGGCTCCTCTCTGGCTCTGGCCCAGGTGACGACGCCCTGGGAGTGGGTGTCAGGAAGAGTGGGAGCTTTGCTGAAGTTCAGGATCCCTGAGTGCAGCCCTCAGCCACTAGGGTTGGTGCCCCGGTCCCCCCAGACCTTCTCCCAGACATATACAATCCTTAGTAATGTTTATTGTCATTTTAATCATAGAATAATAGGTGACCAGTATACTTGTAAGCTGCTTCATGTCATTTTTTAGCTTATATAAATACTAACAACAAAATTATTTAAACTCTTTCTATCGGATTACATTATTTGTAAGTGGAAGACTTTTTTGACTTTTGATTTTTTCCTTTAATGATTGTTGAATTCTTTAAAAAGTTATTGATAAAGGTTCACAAATATTAGTTACCATAATATTGTAGCTAAAACACCAGAAAGCTGACAAAATTGGTAACTATAAAGATAGTGAGATAGTGGCAGCAATCTTGGCCAGCTGAAGCCACGTGATTCAGAGCATCACTGTAAATGGATAATAATGACAGCTCTGACCAGATGGCAGTAGAAGGCTTAAAAGGGAAATTAGCAGAGAATTTGTAGGTATATTGATATATGTAAGTTGGGCTTATTAAAAATGCTTGTTGCTGTAATAAAAATTTTAATCAATATTTATTGGTCTCCATATATATTATATGGTGCTGTAGGATCAGCACTGTCCTGCGAACTACAAGGTCAGAAGTTCAAACCCACCAGCTGCTCCTCAGAAACTGTACAGGGTTGATGTGAGTTGGAACCAAGTCGACAACACTTAACAACATTATATTTCTTCTGAAACACTGCACAAAATTTTTATAGTCATTTTGTGTCACCCCTTCTGACTGTGTCACTTGGTGCAGTCCACACCTCTTACAGTCTGCAACCCCCCCACACTCCCTTAGCAACACCATTGCTCACAGCACTGGGAGAAGAAATGCAGTCATTTGGGCTCAATCTTGGGGCTGAGGGTGTCATAGGAACGTCTATGGACCTGCAAGAGTGTAGCCAGGGTAAGAGGCTAGGATATAGGGTATATATACTAAGATCTGGGTTCAAATTCCAGCCCTACCACGTCCTAACTATATGGTCTTGTTGAGTTATTTTACTTCTCTGAACTTCAGTTTCCTCTTGTACAGTACAAAGATGATAATGCTGATTAGGGCTGTTTTGAGGATTAGCACACTTCCTGATTGTGTTGTTGCATTTATTGCCTTCAAATTGACTCCTGACTCATGGTAACCCGAAACACAACAGGATTGAGTTGGGACCCATATGATTTTGGAACCACCACAACACCCTTATGTGGTAACTATGCTATTTTTAAATTGTTACCACTATCTCCACCATTATCATCTCCCTAACTATTGTTTCACAGCTGAGGTAGGCAGAGGCCAAAGGATAGACTAGGTGACTTTTTGTTATCTCAAAGAGAAATTGGGGGTGGGGCCAGAGGCTTTGCCCTGGAGAAGGAAGTGAGGGAAGGAGATAGAACCCATCAGATGAGGAGGTTCAGTGTCTCCCTGAAAGGATCAATGGGAGGGAGTATGCAGCAGGAGAGAAGAGGAGACTGAATCCCTACTGCCTCAGTCTGTTTTCTATCAGTGTTAGGTGTCATTCTCTGAGTCTTCAATGTTCCCCACCTTCGTGTGGCATTTGGGTAGCAGGTTACTTTTCTAATAAAAGGATCCCTGGTGATGTAATGATTAAGTGCTCACCTACTGTTGTGGACTGAATTGTGTGTCCCCCCAAAGTATGTGTCAGCTTGGCTGGGCCATGATTCTCAGTGTTTCGGCATTGATGTAATGACGTAATGTGGCAGTTCTGTGTTTGTCCTCCATGGTGTGATGTGATGTGATAAACCAATATGAGGACTAAGGATGGGCTGCAATACCTTTAATTCCATCATGTAAAGGAGTTTCCCAGGAGTGTGCCTGCAATACTTCTTATAAAAGTTAAAAGTAAAATGAGCAGAGATCAGAGGGTCCTACTACCACCAAGAAAGAAGAGCAGGAGTGGAGAAGATGCTTTGGACCTGGAGTTCCTGCACTGTGAAGCTCCTAGATCCCGAGACAGATGGAGATCTCCAAGGAATGTTGGGCCTACAGATGCTGAAAGGGGACAAGGACCTTTCTCCGGAGCAGACACAGAGAGAGCCATCTCCTAGAGCTGGCACTCTGAATTCAGACTTGTAGCCTCTTAAAGTGTGAGAGAATAAATTTTTTGATTGTTGAAGCCATCCGCTTGTGGTATATCTGTTATAGCAGCACTAGAGAACTAAGATAGTTGCTAACCCAAAAGACGGCAATTTGAACCCTTCAAGTGGCTCTACAGGAGAAAGGCCTAGAAATCTGCTCTCCGAACGACTACAGCCTAGAAACCCCTATGAGGTAGTTCTACTCTGTCACATGGGACCACTATGAGTCGAAAACGGACTTAACAGCTCCCACCACCAACAACAACACTTTTCTAATATCTCATGTACAGCCATAGCTTTTGCCTGCAAACGCTTGGTTGATATCCACCTATATTCCAATTTTCTATTCCTAAATCATTGAATTTCATTCAGGGCTTTGGATTGGTTCAAATTGGCTCAGTCATAGCCAATGAAGCAAAACTGGAACAAACCCCAAAATTTAAAATATGGATGATCTGGAAAACTAATTGGAATTGGAAAACTTACAGGTCAAAGTCTTAGAATGGGAAATTTGGAGGTAAGACCTTTTAGGAAGAATTGACAAGACTGGAGAGCAACGTGCATTCTAAAGTGGTGTGGTCCACTGCCATCTTTGAGCTGGGCACTACTGATTTCAACTCAGTCAAGAGATTGGATTGCTCTGCAGCATGCATGCTGCCCTTGTTTTCTGCTCTGTCTCTGTCTCTTGACTGGTACATTTAATCCATTTGCATTTAGTGTAATAATCAGTAGGTATGAATTGACTGCTGTCATTTTTCTTGGCGTTTCTTTGTGGCGCTGCTGGATTCTTCTACATGTTTTTCTATGCTGAGTTAATTTTGTTTGTGGGTTTTCTTGTCATTTTCATTTCTGTTGTGTTAATGTTGACGAGATCTTTCTGATTGTCCTCTTTGCTTATTTTGATGTGCAAGTGTATTATTTTTCTTTGAAGTTGCCCTATAATAATTTTTTTCCCTGCTTAAAACATACCTTTTTGTCTTGAAATCCACTTGGCTTCCTTGCCATTTGGAAGCTCTATATCTACACTATTTCCTCTTTTTGCTTTGTAGTTGACTTCATTACACATTGATATCTCTGGTTCCCTATTTTCAGTCTTGTAGGTTGGTTTCACTTTAAATAATTCCATATTGGTGTGAGTTAATACACTGAGGGTTAATACACTGGACTGCAAGGTCGGTTTGAACTGTAAAGTCAGTAGTTCAGGCTCACCAGTGGCTCCTTGGAAACCCTATACAAGGTCATTGTGAGTTGGAACCAACTTGAAGGCACTTAACAACAACAACTGGAATGAGTTCTAGGTAGTGTTGTCATGTATAATCTCAGGTTACTGTCAGCTGTTGTTGGTTCTTAATCCAAAGAACATCCTGTACATTTTTTGTAAAGTTGGTCTGGTCATTACAAATTTCTTGAACTTCTTTTTATCAGGAAATGTTCTAATTTTGCCTTTATATTTGAGGGACAGCTTTGCTATATATTTTTAATTGACTTTATTTTGTTTTGCATTACTTTAAAAAAAATTTTTTTTTAAGGTTTTTGTTGTGGATTGAGTGAAAGTTTACAGGACAGATTGTCAGTTTTACATTCAACAAATCATATGCCTTACTTCATTACAATGATTATCATTCCCTCTATGTACCATCAGTTAACAGTATTTCTCTCTATTCATTTTAGCTTTTTTTAAAAAAGCAAAAAACAAAACAAAACACTCAGGCATATATAATAATTTACACCTCCAAAGGGCACATTCTGCAAATCTGCCTCCTGGCCACCAGCTCTCAGTCCCTCTCTTCCCATGAATCTAGAGTCCTCAGTAGCTCCCCCTCTCCCTGCTTCTCTCGATAAGTTCTACATTCTGCTTGTGCTTTTCTCCCTTGATGGTCCTAGGGTCCTCTGTTTCTGGATTGTAAGATTAACTACTCCCTGTATTTGTTACAAAACTTCTACCTTTACAATTGTGACAGTCACAATTAGTCATGATAACAATTATTCACTCTTGAATCTTGGGCCAGGTACATATTCATCATGAACATAAGTAACTGTTCCAGAATACTCATACTTCACAATGTTGTCAGAGGGTGACATCCAGAATCTTCTGAGGTGGGAAATTTCCACTTAAAAGGACAAGCAGACCAACCTGGAGCAGCTAGAAGAACAGAAGATACTTCTTGAAAGAAAGACTAGGAGGAAACATTAAAAACAATAACAGCACTTCCCTGTATTTGTTACAAAACTTCTACCTTTACAATTGTGACAGTCGCAATTAGTCATGATAACAATTATTCACCATTGAGTCATATGAATCTTATCCCCATCTCTTTTCACCAGACCCATCTAGACAAGATGAAAACTATTCAGTGGAGACTCTTTCTTCCCTCCCATACTCTTAAACTAAACTCCCTCTTGAAACTTTGTAAGCCAGTCACTTCATGCCTTTATTGCCCCCTCATTTTAGATAGCCAAAGTCTAAGTTACCAGTCTACTATCTACCCTGTGTACAGAGGGGATAGCATTGATACTTGATGTGAAGGCTCCTTCCCTCTCTGTTGTTATTTAAAGTTACTATTGCCATGAGTATAGATAGGTCAGGTTCATCAAATTGCAGCAATTTATCCTTGTTTCCTTTATCAATAAATTTTTTTTTTTTTTAATCGTCCTCTGGTCAAGCTCTGATTATCAAGCCATCGAGGTTAGGTCAAATGGGTACTGTCTACAAGTTTGGGTGTTCTTGTGCATCTCCCCTCACTTTCTGATTGCTTCCAGGTAGATGTGATCAGGAGATGGCCTTTCCTTTTCACTTTTCTTCCTGACAAATTTCAAGATGCCACTGTTGGTCATTGTGATGTAACTCAGAATTTCATTTTTGGCCTATTTCCTTTTTAGTCTGCCTGTCCCACTCCACAATCCTCATTCAGGCCTTTTCCTAGTGATAAAGAGTTCAGGGCCAGCTGTGGCCATTTTGCACTGCCATTTAGTTTTAAGTGGAAACTGTCACTTTAAATTTCGAGAAGACCTGTGCATATGTGTAGTAGAATCCTCCTTGCTTCTGCTACAAATTCCCCTAGCTGTAAGCCTTCCAATCTTCTAAATATTCCTTTATATGTGGTTCTGGCGCCATCCCCTGAGCCTGGTTGGCCCGGTATTCTGTGTTGTTGCTGTCTTCACTGCATTTCTGCCAGATCCGCCATTTTGTTTGTTCTCCCTCATGGTTTCATTTTGTGCCATTCTCTGATGCAGACTCACCTGGTATATATCAGCACCTGCATCCGGTTCTCTGGGTCCAAGTCATAAAAAGAGACTGCCCTCTGGACTCATCAATCTCCAACGCTGTAATTACTTAGCTTATCTAAAGATTTGAGAGGTGAGGCTCAACCTTTAAATTTCCTCATAGCTACTTGAGGCACAGCAGTCAGGAATTGTGCAAAGATCTGACGGAGGGGCATTCTCACAACCTCCAGTTCTGGTGAGTGACTGAGGAGGGCAGGCCAGGGAGCCTGAGCCAGGGAGGTTCTGAGTAGTCACAGAGATGGGCCTGGGGGTCATGGGCACTGCCTTTCCAGGCATCCAGAAGAATTTCCAATATGGGAGTGAGTTGAGAGTTGGCTTCCATGATGGAGACAGGGACAGAGAAGGGACCAGTTGGGAGATAGGTGTGTGGGTCAGAAAGGAGCAATTTAGAAGAAGACAGCCACAGCTAGGATAGGGAAGTGGAACCCAGGAGAATTACAAGGTGAGGCCAGCACCAGGAGGGAAGGAAAGGAGCTTGAAGTAGGGGAAGATGCTTTCAAGACGGAGGAACTGTAGTTATTAGTGAAGGAAAGGAGAGCAAGAATGATCCGGAGGTGAGACAACTTGAGAGATCCACTATAGTGGGGACAAGAATTGTTGCAGAATAGATACAGAAAAGGACCTGCTGCATTAGATTGTTTGGGCTGCAGGCCTGCAGTGGGTTTGGTAGTGGCAGGGACAATAGAGAGCTTCAGGGGTCAGGATGAGACTAGGAGAGGATGGAGGGGAGAGTTGGTGAGGGGAGATGTTTCTGGTGGGACTTTGGGGTTAATTTTATATTACCAAGGGCAAGGGACCCTTCCGAAGGTGACTAGAAACTGAGAAGAAGGCCTTGTGTGTGTGTGTGGTGGGGGTGGCTGTTCAGGGTGTCCAGTTCCAAGCTGCCTGTGTACTCTTCTGATTTGCTTCCTTCTTAGGAGAATTTATCCCCATTCCTAAGGGATAAGAAGGGAGGGAGTAACCGATCCAACTGCCTTGGTGAAACCAGGGTAGAGCAGAAGGAGGGGGCCTGGGAACCAGATGCAAGGAGAGAAATAACCAGTTGGAGTTGGTAATAGGAGCCATGACCCTCATTTCATCCCGGTACTCCTGTTTACCCCTATTACTGAAGGCCTGGCAGGGGATGGTGGGCCTTTCTACCCCTCAGGACCCTCTGAGCAAGGGAGTAACCGCTATGGGAGATGCAGAAAATGGGCCTCATTCTCCCTGCCTGGGGTGATCACTGCAATATTTTCTCCAGATGGGTTCTCTTAGGGTCAGAGAAGAGTCTTGGATTTGTTATATTCATTTCTCCACAGTGTGTCTTGACTGCCTCACCTTTTAGAAGTAGGAAAGGCAAATCATCTCAGGTCTTGGTTTTCCTGAGACCTTTGGCTCTTCCTTAATTGCAAGCAGTCAAAGGTGGAAGATTTAAAGACTCTGAGCCCATATTCACCCCTCCGCCAAACTGAAATTGGTTTTCTTTTCCCAGTTGATTCAGGTACAATGTCCAGCCTATTTAAGAAAATCACAAAAATGGTGGTCCAACAGCTGGATGCTGGAGGGGATATGATTCCTGTTAGGAGTGCCATTGATGCTGACAGATTGCACTGCTTCCATCTGGTGTGGGAAAAGAAAACGTTATGTACAGTCCGGTACATCAGAACAGGTCTCACCCTGAAGGACATCCTGGAGACAGAGGAGGATTACATGTCAACTGATGAGCTTTATTCTGGGTCCTCAGGTCTGTATGAGCGGGTGCGAAATGCCCAGCCAGGAGGCCAAGCTCACTCCTACTGCACCCTATCCTAAATTCCCCCTTGCCATCAACCAAGTGGGCCAGTGCTGACTAGCCATCTATCAGTCAGCAAAGAAGCTGTGGGATTTGTATGGTTGCATTGGCACCTCAGTTAAAGAAATGCACAGCAAAGCTACGTAGGGATAAGGGAACAGGGGAGGTGGAGGTTTTTTTTTTTATATATTAGAAATTAAATATTCCTCCTTTTCCATAGTTCCAATTGTAGATAATTTACCTTTAAATTAGATTACTCATCTCACACTTTTATACATTCACCATATA